ATTCCAGACCCTGTTCCCATTCCCAATCCCCATTCCCCTTCCCAGTGCTGCTCCCATTCCCAAATCTCAAATCCCATTATCTCATTCCCAATCCCATTCCAGATCCCATTCCTGTTCCCATTCTGGACCCCATTCCCAAATCCCACATCTCATTCCCGACCCCAAACCCCATCCCTGACCCCAAATCCCATCCCCAAACCCCATTCCCATTCAGGACCTCATTCCCAAACCCCAAACCCCACAATTCCCATTCCCAACCCCATAAACCCCACAATTCCCATTCCCAAACCCCACAATTCCCATTCCCAACCCCACAATTCCCATTCCCAACCCCATAAACCCCACAATTCCAATCCAGAACCCCACAATTCCCATTCCCAATCCCACAATTCCCACAATTCCCGTTATTTTCCATCACTCACTGCTGAAGTTGCCCCTGCTCTCCTCCACCTTCACCACGCCCAGCGCCGTCCCCAGGCCCCACAATTCCCATTCCCAACCCCACAATTCCCATTCCCAGTCCCACAATTCCCATCCCAAACCCCACAATTCCCATTCCCAACCCCACAATTCCCATTCCCCATTCCCAAACCCCACAATTCCCATTCCCAACCCCATAAACCCCACAATTCCCATTCCCAACCCCATAAACCCCACAATTCCAATCCAGAACCCCACAATTCCCATTCCCAATCCCACAATTCCCATTCCCAATTCCATTTTTCCCCCATTTTTCACTCACTGCTGAAGTTGCCCCTGCTCTCCTCCACCTTCACCACACCCAGCGCCGTCCCCAGGCCCCACAATTCCCAACCCCATAAACCCCACAATTCCCATCCCAAACCCCACAATTCCCATTCCCAACCCCACAATTCCCATTCCCCATTCCCAAACCCCACAATTCCCATTCCCAATTCCCATTTTTCCCCCATTTTTCACTCACTGCTGAAGTTGCCCCTGCTCTCCTCCACCTTCACCACGCCCAGCGCCGTCCCCAGGCCCACAATTCCCATCCCAAACCCCACAATTCCCATTCCCAGTCCCACAATTCCCATTCCCAATCCCACAATTCCCATTCCCAACCCCATAAACCCCACAATTCCAATCCAGAACCCCACAATTCCCATTATTTCCCATCACTCACTGCTGAAGTTGCCCCTGCTCTCCTCCACCTTCACCACGCCCAGCGCCGTCCCCAGGCCCCTCTCGGCTCCCTCGGGGCCCTTCCCGCACTCCCCCAGCGCCGTCTCGGCGCCGAGGCCGCCCTTGGCCAGGAAGGGCCCCGGGGGCAGGGCCAGGGCCCCGCGGGGCCCCGCGGAGCCGCGGAATTTCTTGGAGAAGGGGCGGCCCCCCTGGATGAAGCTGCGGAAAGCGCCCGCCTTGTGGGGGCGGTGCCGGATCCACTCGCGCAGGGTCTCGATGGGGGAGCCGTTCACGCACCACTCGGTGACCCCGAACTGGCGCAGGTGAGCCCGGGCGTGGCTGGCCAGGGCCTTCCTGTTCTCAAAGTAGAGCCCGCACAGCTCACAGCACGCCTCTGCTGCTGGGA